CTCAGCGCTGAACTCCATGTGGTGGAATTCTGCTTTCATGCGCGCTCTGTTGCAGGCAGCGTTCCAATTTAGGACAGTTCGACTCCTTACCAGTTCGAACTTGTAACTGTTCGATTCTGTCCGCGTTCTGTTCTGGTATGTGTGCGAAAAAAGGACTGTTCTGAATTGAATCAGTTCGATTTTAGGTCTGTTCGAATTTGAAAACGTTCGAATTCGTCGTACCCCTGCCAATACGACCTGAAATTGTAGACGAATTATGGAAGCGGCATGTCCGATCTCGATGGCGCGTGCGCGCGAACGGTGTACCTATGTCGTCCACATGAGGCGCGGCGCCAACGCATATACCATGCGCAGCCGTAACCCTGTGAGGTGAATATCAACCCATTTTTAGGCCAAAAATTTGGTGATCTAGAAAACTAAACTTGCAAAAGTTAGGCCACGTAATAAATTTCCTAGAAAACACATAAAGTACATCGTTCGAAACTAACTTTTGACAAATCCCACTGACTTCACAAATTTCATTTTCATAGCCATGAATTGCATGCGCAAAATACAGAGAGGGATTCTTTGGTGATCGTGATGAAATTTGCCCATAAATTGTAAATTTCCCGTCATCAAGTTTGTAAACAGCGCCCACTTGATTTTGAATTTCAGAGCGAAGATGAAATTGTTTGGGTAAATCAAGGTTTCTGGGAGCGACTTCCCAGTCAACATGGTCATGAAATGTGTATCCTGTGATCATAGGCGTGATGTTGGGTTCAGGTGGATTCCAGTACTAGAAGAAAAGAGGATGATTGGATGCTGTGGAGGGGACCTACCGCAAAATTAAACGTCTCGCTACATGACCCAGGATCATCTAGGCATTGTTGTACTACCTTTGGTTTATGATCTGAAAAATTGTGATCTAGATTTTCAAAGTTTTAGAGAGCATCTTACCGGCCACACATGCATAACTATGATGATCCACAGGCCAATCAGATTCCAGAAGCAAGAAACCAAATGGTTGGTCATCGAGACAATCTCCCATGAGAGTGGCCTTCACGATGTTCCGCGAATTCTTCTCAAGCATTGATAACACATCTTTTCTAGAAATGTGATATTGAGTTTCAGATTCCAGAAATTTTAATTCATACTTTTTATCTCGACACTCCTCCGCATTATATTTATTCTTAATCAATATGACGTCAGCTATCAGATGTCGTTTTGAAACCATAACAGCTTGTACATCAAACCACATTGAGTCCTTCATCACTTTTCCTTCATACTGCAGTCCTTCTAAAGTCACAAGAGGGGAGATGAAATAAGGTGGAAGGATTTGTCTGAAACCAAAATTTAGATAAGCAAAAAGAGAGAAATTTTTACTGTTTTTCTGTGTTTCCACACTTTTCTAATCTCTCATTGTTCTCTGCTGGAGATAAATTGCCTGTCGGATACATTCGCCGTCCGAAGCTTGCATCAGTTTGAATAACTAGAGCCAAAACGATTATCAACAGTTTCAGCATTTTCGAAGCCATTGGATAATTCGGTGATAGAGGTTGATTTTTAGATGGATTGACACGTCTTTGGATGTTGGCTGGAAATTTACAGCTATTCAAAATAGGACGAAGGTCGAAATTACACTGGGTTACGCGTTCGATTGAGATGAAAAAAAGGAAATATCAGAGAAGTCATCAAAAGTGGAGGAGCAAATATGAAGAAGGGACATGAAGTCTGAGATTCTGACTCCGAAACTCTGATTCTGAAACTCTGATTCTGAAATTCAGATTCTGAAATTCTGATTCTGGAACTCTGAAACCTCGAAACTCTGAAATTCCGAATTTCTATTTCTGATCTTCTGAAGTTCCGAAACTTTTTCGTGAAAAAAAATCATGAACTTTCTGGGAAACTGTCTATGAATATCGCGGATTAAGAAAAAAGACCAAGTTTAAGATTATGAGATTTATTGGTTGCGAGTTATTAAAGAAGAAAAATAAAAAGTCAAGTAATTAATTGTTCATCGAGGCCAGAATCTTCTTCTTCCACTCGTCCACCAAATCAACTTGCTTCTTCTTTTCTTCTGGAGAGAACGTCTTCTGCTTTTTCTGAATTGGCTTGGCTTCCAAATCCACCACGATTTCGAATGCTTCTCCTTCGAGTTGTCTTCTAATTACACGGCATCCAGCCGCTGGAGCATTGACCACTCCCATATAGAAAGCGTATGGAAGAGGTTCTGATGGCGTCTTAACTTCAGAAGATGTCTTGGATTCTGGAGAGATTGGTGGCGTGTTAGATCCGGATGATGAAGGAGTTGGAGACATTGGTGGAGTGTAAATCAGCGGAGATCCAGAAGTCTCGATTTCCAATGATCCCGATGGTGTCGATTCGGAAGGCATAGGTTCCGAAGTCGTGTCGAGTGGCGAGGTATCCAATGGCATCGGAGAATTGGATCCAGAATCTGGTGGCGTCAGTGAGTATACACTACATTCTTCCACGCAGGTATCGAATGCTGTCATTTTTTGAATGAGCTCAATTTCCGAAGATTCGTCGGATTCAGACAGTACGATGGTTTCCGATGGAGTAGGAGTCGAAGGGCGTGTCTCTGGAGTAGAAGAAGTCTCGCATCCCGGTGGTGACTTAGATACATGTTCAGAAGGTGTGACATCGTTGGAAGACGTAGAATCAGAAACTGGTGGAGTGGAAGTCCGAGCTCTAGAACGTTTCACGGCTCTGACTGCCTTGTTGGATCCAGATGACGTTGGAGTAGATTCATTTGAAGAGAAAAGCCGAGCCAATTCAACAGGTGAGAATCCTTTGATAGATTTGAGCAAAGACTTGACGACAGGGAGGTAGTCATTGGAATTTTGGGTGGCAACAACTGATGCGAGCATTTTTTGGAGTAAGATCTGGAAAAAAGAAATGTTTTTTGAAAAGAAAGAGTTCGGAAAATATCGATTTAGAAAAGAGAGAAAATCGAGAGAATGAGGCGATCAAGAGAAGGAAGAGCGAATGCGAATGAATGAATGAATGAATTGAAAAAAAAGGAGGTGTGTCAGATGGCCCACCTGGAATGGGCGGAGTCTGCGACAGACATGACGACAGACATTGACTCTGAAAGAGGTGGGCCCCTGTGAAGAGGTTCTCTTCCGTTTAACTATCAATATTTTTCCTTGTGGGAAAAAGTGGATTGACTCTAAAAGAAGAGAGCCATATAGTTTTATCGTCTAGCTAAGTAATTACGGCCCCATGTGAAGAGACCATCTCAATATTTCAAATGGAGTGTGGACGGGAAAAACAAAGGAAGCAAGAAAAAAGGAAAATAATGTTAACACCATCTCAATTAGAAACAGAAGCAGACTAGTCAATTTTAAAATTTTTATATCTCTAAACATTGTTGAAGATTTTAATTATCAAATTTGAATCCGTGGCTGATGGCTGAGATTAATCTAAGTTCCGAAATCAGTTTTTTTGGGCTTTAGGATAATTCGAAAGATTTTAATTTCCGCATTTGAAGCCCTCTGAATTAATAGAATAGCTTTCGATAGTATGTTCAAAAATAACATTATTGATATGGGAAACAGGACGTAAGTTGATAGAGTGTATCTGGATAAGTTCAGAATTTTAGTTAGAATTCGGGTAGGATAGCAGGATATTTACACAGAAAAGTAAAAATAAGGATTAGAAAAAAAACAAGAGAAGGAGAGGAGCAAACGAATGCGAATGAATGAATGAAGAATGGAGGTTCACCAGATGGGTAACATAAGTAGGTGGAACATGTGACAGACGTGACGACAGACATGGACTCTGAAAGAGGCAAACACCTGTAAAGATACAATTTATATTATCAGATTCAGCCATCAATATTTTTTCTTGTAAGAAAAGGTTATGTGGGAAACAACTAGAGCTAAAGAAACAATCTTACATGGAATGACTCCCAAGTGTTACCCTCGAAAAAAATACCTATATGGTTGGATAGAGCGTAAAAAGTTATTTCAGATTCCAAACAAAATAGTTGGTAAAAAATTTTTTTTGGGAGTTATGGTCCAAAAAGTACCAAAAAATGCCTAAATTTTCAAAAATCATAACTTTGTCAGTGTATGTCCGTTTGTTGAAATTCAAAAAACAGTAGATAGACAATTAATTGAACATTCGAGAATAAAATTTTTGATCTTTTCCGATTGATTGGATTATTGATTTTTTTGAAAAAATCAAAAATTTTTTCAATATCTCAAAAATCCTAGGTTAACTTTTTTTTTCATTATGACCATTGATTTCAGCACATTTGATTTATTGTAGAAACATATCAATACCCCGGGGGAAATCATGCTCACACAAGTTATGCCGAAAAATATCGATTTTTGGCACTTGGCTTCTTTGAATTCGTTGTCCTCGGCGGCCAGTATGATAAGGGGCACATTTGTTTTTGTAAATTTTTGTTGCGTATTGTTTGGCTAGAGTGTTTGAAATAGAATCCTGCGACATACAAAGTCAATTTTTCAAATGCCGTACCATTTCATAATCTTGAAAAAATCAAAATTTTGACATGTGACAGGGCACATCTATAGTTAAACTTGATAGAAACGGCCAAACTATTTTTTAACATAATCAGAAAAACGTAATCTTATCAACGGCTTGAACAGAATTTTGATTTAGGCCCTAGAATCAAAAATATTTACGATTTTCCGAGCGTGACTGACCCCTTTTTTTTGGTGAAGTCTGACATTTTTGGTGAAGTGTGACATGTGACGGGGCACATCTATGGTTAATCTTGATGGAAATAGCCAGACTCTTGTTTAAACTTGATTAAAATGATAAAATCTTATCAACGGCTTGAACATAATTTTAAATCAGGCCCTAAAAATAAAAATATTCACTGATGATGGGACACCTTTTGTTTTTGATCATAACTTGAGAACGAAAAAAAATATTGAAAAACTGTTAACGCCATTTGATTTAAAATGAAACAATAACATAGAAAAAGTAGAATTAACTTGGTCCCTGTGGTGAAAGTAGGTTAAATGAACGATTTCCGAAAGATATCCTTCCAGCTTCGGACAGCCGAAATCGACCTTTTTCCATTTCACCTATTTTCACGATACGAAACAAACCAATAACATTTATCTGATAGTATTTTTTGATTTTAAAAAAATTTTGATTTTTTCAAAAAAATTAATAATCCAATCAATAGGAAAAGATCAAAAATGTTATTCTCGAATGTTCAATTAACGAATGTTCAATTAATCTATCTACTGTTTTTTGAACAAACGGACATAAACTGACAAAGTTATGATTTTTTGAAAATTTAGGCATTTTTTGGTACTTTTTGGACCATAACTCCCAAAAAAAATTTTTACCAACTATTCCGTTTGGAATCTGAAATAACTTTTTACGCTCTATCCAACCATATAGGTCTTTTTTTCGAGGGTAACACTTGGGAGTCATTCCATGTTAGGTATATCTTTAAGCATAACTTGAGAACTTTTATCTTGGAAGCACGAAAATTAGTAGAAATTCAATTTTACTTTTGATTCGAAGATGCTGAACTTTTCAAAGCGATTTGTCAAGTCTAGGTATTGTTATGATTGTCTAAAGATGAACGACGTAATATTTAATGCACGCCGTTGTGAAGCAACTTTGACAAGCGATAACTCAGCTCAAAGTAGATCAAATAGTTTGAAATTTGGTCAGTTTATTGATGAATTAAGTCAACTTTTGCACTCCGAATTTAAGCCCAGTGCAACGCTTCACTCAAGTGTTATGGTATTACAAGCTGTAGTCCGGTATTTATGTGCCGCAGTAGAGTTTAATCAAATTGGGACCATAAACCATATAGTCCACAACATCCACAGATTTCTGGACACCTCAAGCAATATACTTTTAGTCATTTATCGAGGTATCTTTGAAAGCGGGCGATTTTTATGATGATGTAATCTTGAGTATAATATCGGCTAGTCTTCCGTATGCTTGTTCTGAATTTTTCTCATTCTGAATCAAAAAAATTGCGCCGTTTCAGTTTTTTTTTTAATTTGCTTGGTTTGAGCTAAACACATTTAATCAGAACTGGATTGGTATGCTTGAGTCACTTTGCTTACCCAACCATGTATTCAAGAATTTCTACAAAAGAGTTTTCGGTTTACAGCTAATTTCCTATACTAGGTTTTTCTCAAGATTATTCTTTTCGCTGGTATAACTATTTTCCCACAACACTATTTCCCAGGAGACAAAAATATTGAACTGAAGATGGTCTCTTCCCAGGGGTTCACTTCATTTAGAGTTCATTTGCTCTCTTTACATCTGTAATAGACTCCGCCCAATTATCCATCCAGGTGGGTCATCTGACTCCGCCCACTTGCCTATCCAGGTACAAACCTCTTTTTACTCCATTCATTCATTCATTCGCATTCGTTTGCTCGTCTCCTGTCTCTCATTCTTCTCCATTTTCTGATCAATATTTTCTCTGATAATTTTTTGTTTGGAAGGCGGAAATTCTTCCACTTCTACCAGGTTTATTGTCATAATGCTAACATTTCTTCCCGGTTTCCGTCCTTACATACTATGCTTGTATTTCTATTTTCTAAAAGTTTTATACTTTCAGAACTTATCGCGAATATGTCTTCATCTGCTATCACCAACGTCAACATCAACTCCAATATCATCGAATTAGCTGATTTACAAAGTTTAGTCAGAACAAGATCCGAATTTGACACTACCATGAAAGGTGCTTCGACGTACACGCCACAAGTATCTGGATCCACATCATCTGAGTCTATCCCGCCTTCTAACCCGAAGTCAAAGGTACCCAAGGCAGTATTGAAAGTATCGAAGGCATTGTTGAAGAAGTTTCCGGAACTAAATTTCGCCAACATCTCAGTTGAATATCCCTCTGCATCGTATACTTTGGAACCAACTCCCGAATTTGATATTATCATGAAAGGTGCTAGAATCTACACAGTCACACCACCAGATTCTGGATCAGCATCTCCTATTCCTTCTAATTTCACGTCACTCGAGACTTCTTCTCAAATCACTTTTGCATCGCTGTCAGCTGGAATCACGGAATCACTAAAAATTGAGAAGCCTATTGAATCGTCGACTATTTACACTCCCCCATCATCCCCTTCAGCTCCATCCACTCCAATTCCATCTGGATCAAACACTCTAACAATTTCAACAGAACCGGAGACATCTTCTAAAACTACAACGTCTTCAACCTCAACGTCTTCAGAATCCATCCAATACGTTTTCTATAAGGGAGTGGTCAATGCTCCAACTGCTGGATGCCGTGTACTCAGACGACAACTCGAAGGAGAAGCATTCGAAATTCTCGTGGATGTGGAAGATTTAGAAGCAAAATCAAGTGCAAAAATTCAGAAGACGTTCTCTCCAGAAGAAAAGAAAAAGCAAATCGATTTGGTGGATGAGTGGAAAAACAAGATTCTGTCATCAATGAATGATTAATTTTTTGATTTTAATTTTTCCAATTTCCATCTTAAAATAAAAGTCATGGCCTAAATCGTTGTCTTCATGAAATCAACATTTTTTATGTCCTAGAAGACGTTAAGATACAGACGATGTTCCAATTTATGAACAGATCAAGAATAATTAAAGGGGGACTCCGACCAAAAATTTTTATTGCATTAAAATGTGTTAAAAGTTATCTATTTTCCGAATATTATTGCGAAAAAATTCGAAAAAAATCCGAAATTCCCAAAAAAACGTCGTTGAAAAGGAAGAAAATTCAAAAAAAGGTGCCG